TTCAGCAGAAGTGACTAGAAGGCCAGCACGATATAGCTGACCTTTATGATCACAATTTTGTGCCTCTCCCCTTGTCCTCAGATTTAATGTAAATGCTTGGTACATACAACACATGGACACATCCCAATGCCGCTCACAGCCCTGCCGCAGTGAAGGTAAAGCCTGAGCTGAGAAACTGATTTTAATTCTTCTAAGTTATAGAATGTTTCAAATTCAGACCTAACATGTAGCACTTCAGGATTTTCTTTTTGTGCCAGTTCTCAGACATGACAAACAGCTTCTTGTCAAAGTCTGAGCTGGCCTTTTCTTCGGCAGGCATCCTCCGACCACCGGGTTATTGACTCTTGTTATGCATCTAGGAATGCTAAGCTACTGGAAAAAATATGCTGGGCTTACAGGTCTAATGTCTGATGAGGAGGGAAAAAAAAAAAAGAGAGAAAATAGAAGACACTAATTGGATGTGAGACCCTCTTCCCATCTTCATCCACGCTTCAGAAAGTCACTCCTGGTAGCTCCCTGTTGTTGTTATCATCTCGTCACGTTTGGTTATCGCACTGGAGAGCCCCCCAAACCTACCTGGTTACCCTCCTGGCCAGGGGTGACGCTGAGGCCGGCTGCTGCCATGTAGGTGCTTCCAATGGTCTTGATTTTTTCAACACCGCTAAATTTAGGTTTTAACAGCAGCTGTTCAAAGGGGAGTTGACACATCAATGCCACGTTTCAGTTTTAACCAGAAATCTTGTACTCTCTGCAATGAGCAGCGAGCATCTTTAGGAATACCATCGTTAATCACATCAGTGCTGGACAAGAAAGCACTGAGGAGCTGCTCTACCAGCTCATAGCAGAAATGAAACAAGTTCTGAAATTCAGGTCTTTCAAACCACACTACTAATGCGTTAAATGATATAATTAAAAAACCTTGTCAGTTGGGAATATACTTTACTTCCAACATTGCACGGCTGAGCTCAGAGGATTAGTTCAGCCTAACGCCTTTTTACTCCCCCAATGCTCACAGATCCAGCAAAACATTTTATTTGTAGTAAATACATAACATAGCCCGTTTTTGCCAGAAGCTTAATTACCTCATCAAAATCAGCAATGATTTCATTTAACAGCCGCAAGCATTCCAGGCCTTCTTTATTGACATCACATTCAGTATAAAACACCTTAAAATCTGGTACTGATGCAAACATGACACAGACACAGTCGTAAGACTGATGATACCAGTCCTGCAGGAACATAATATATTGACACATTTTCAGCAGTTACCTTCCACCAGAACTGATGAAAACTATCATTGCTTGCTACCACTAATCAAATTACATTTTTTCCATGAAATTATCCCATAGCACAATGTAAAGTAATGAACTTTATAAAGTATTTTCTTTTAAATCAGGAGTGATAACATAGGTGATTTGCTACAGAAAAGCCAAGTTATCCATGTATCTCAAAATTCTTATCTGGACAGAAATTTGCAGTATTTATTCTGCTGCAGTGCTGGCATAATAATGATTCTTCTGGGATATCTGTCTTATCAATTAACATTTCCCATTGGGGTTGTAACTCAGGAAATATTATCTGGTCCTTTAACTAACTTGTTTTAGAAAGAAAGCCTATCCACTCTAGTAAAATATGGACTTTGCAAAGCAGTAAACCCGTCCTAAGTAACTGCCAAACTCAAACTCATTCCCAAAGCTGAATATCTAATTCCTAGAACAGATTTCAGAGATTGACAATAAAGATGACATGTCCTGGATGCCATGCGGGTACAAGATTCCTGGGTTTTTTGTTTCGTTGTTTTTAAGATTTTGAATGCAAACAAGATACCTGTGTGCAGAATCTTCCAGTATTCTCTGTGCCTGGTGTTAGAGAAGTTCAATCTACTGTCCCTCACATAGCAGAGATCAGACATACCTCATTTCGTTTTTCCCCAATGAAATAGGCAGCAACATGTGCTGGAAGAACATTCTCCAGCAAAAGCCTGTTAACATTCTCCATCGTTTCAAACTGTTCATGTTCTTTTTTAAACTTATTCTTCCAAAGACAATCTAGTCGGCAATAATAGTCAATCTGGAAAATAAATATTTAAATTAAATCCATATATCACCTCACTGAAGAAGTGTTAAATTATTCAAAATAAGAATAGGAGCAATAAGGTTTCTTCAAGCCATTTTGAATGTGATAGTTATAGAGACTGCTTCAAGAATGAAGGTTAGAAAAATGCAAAGGAATCAGCATGAACGAATGCCACTCGGGTCACTTCAGGTGTGTTTACAAGTCTGACATTTTAATAATGTAGTGATTATTTTTATCTTGAATTACTGCCTGAATTAGAGGATGAAAAATCTAAGTTCTGCTTTCCAATTTCTGGAGTTCCATTAGAGAGGAAAATCGGAGAGTTCCTGCCCTTCCACAGTAAGCATTTCTGCATTGACTTCAACTAAGTAAAATAATAAAGAATTTAGAAGTACATATAAATTTCTTGAACAATTTAAATTAACAATTCTTTTGCATTTTGCTTAAATATACCTGCAGCAAGTAAAAATGAGCTAAACTATTGCTTTTTAAATACCTACCTGTTTTGCAAGTAGAATTAGGGTTACATAAAACAGAACCAGATATAAATTAGTCATTATTCCCGGGTCTTTCATGAAAAACCTGAAAACAAGAAAGCAACACCAAATCATTTGGATCCTTAAGAAAACTCCACATCAGGAGTTTTTATTTTCCAACTTAAGGAAAAATTTCTTCACAGTGAGGGTGACAGAGCCCTGGAACAGGCTGCCCAGAGAGGTTGTGGAGTCTCCTTCTCTGGAGATCTTCAAACCCGCTTGGACGCAGTCCTGTGCCACGTGCTCTGGGTGACCCTGCGTGTGCAGGGGGTTGGACTGGATGACCTCTAGAGGTCCCTTCTGACCTTAAACATTCTGGGATTCTGTGATTCTATGATCATTCGGGGTGGGCTAGAGCAGGAGGAGGTGCCTTCGCTCAGAACCAGCAGCACTGGCATCAGCTCCTTGTGCCAGAGGCTCTCTGGCAAAAAAGGTCCTACCCTGACCATGAGAAAGGACCACCATTCAGTGCAGCACCTGAGCTGCACCAAACACGGACAGAAATGCCCCTCAAACCTCGCTAAGCAACTAGCGTAGTGGCCATTCGAGTAGACACGAAGCATCTTTATTCCCACTGAACTAAGGTCTAAGGTTCCTCCCACACTGTTTCTGCAGAAATAGTCAGCAAAACCTTGAACTACTTTTTTATTTGTGAAAGGCTGTTCTCCATGCTTTAAAAGATCAACACTCTTAAAAGGTTGAGGTTTTTCCCATTCCTTCTTAGTAGAAGCCTCAGTGTAAGCTCAGGTTCTAGATATCTCTGAAGCCTTTATTTCATGCTTTTTTTTCCTTAAAAAATAATTCAAAAAAAGCTATTTTTCTTAATTCCTTTTTTTTTTTCTTAAGGTGATAGCAGTCTAATATGATTTCTGTGTCATTAACTTTACAAAAGGCTTTGTAATGCTTTTTGACTTCTGTGATTTTTCTATTTCAAAAATCCAAAAGTTCACAAAAACCTGTGCCTCCGTCAGTGGAACTCTATTGTGTATTATAAAAAGCTTGGCAGGTACCTGGTGTCATTCACAGAGACGCTCATGTGAATATGCTGAAGGGTATTAAAAATGATGAGGTAAATGGTCACAGCGATGGACAGCAGAAGAACTTTGAGTTCGAAGCTCATTTGGAGGAACACGGAGCAAGCAATGAATGCTAATATGCAGCAGTAAGTGTAATACTGTAAAAGAATAATTTAAAGAGCAGTTGCATAATTCAGGCTTTACACATAACAGACCTTCAAAGAGTAGGAAAGGCTCGAAATTCATTACCAACATCATTTAAATACAAGAAAGATAATTTAGTTGATAATACAATTGAACTTTAAGAGTTGCACTAAGAAAGATTTACTGACTTCTTTTAGTTCACCATTTTTTAAAAAAATGGTTAAAGAGAAAAAAGGGGATTTAAACAACAAATAATCGAGGCAAACACAACCAATACCAGGTAAAAATGGAAGAATGCTGAGCAGGGGACTTATCTTCAGAAAACTATTTATTTAAAGTTGAAGACTGATTTAAGGCAGCTTTGTAGTGCAGGGACTGGGCGGTGAGCCGGGCGCTGCCCGGGACGGAGCTGCCCGCGCAGCCCCAGGGCGCCGCGGCCGCCCCGCGCCCCGGGGCAGCCTCCCCCTGCTGCCTCACAGGGCTCTCTGCTACTGAGGCTAACAAAGACTTTCCTAGGAAGTCGGATGTTGGGGCAGTGGCTGAGGGGCTAAGGGGGCTGTTCCGCGCACCGCGGCCGCAGGGTGACAAGGCCGAGCTCGTGCCGGGCACCGCGGCCGGTGGCGGCGTCTCCTCTGCTCCCACGTTATCCCACACCTTCACCCAGAAGGGAACAGAGCGCCACGCCACAGAGCCCAGGGAGGTTCTTAGTAAACTCTTAACGTTTCTGCAGAAATTAATGAAATGAGCAATTTATAGGGTAAACTAGGAATCAGAGCATATTATATAAGGAATTGTACCAATTCCATCATCCTAAAGGCTGTGAATCTACTTTCAGAGGTAGCAAACGCTCCCATTCTCAATTCAATCCCTGAAACAGAAACAGCCACGTAGAGAACTCCAACAGGTCTACGTGCCATTTCTCAGGACGCCCAAGAGTATCAACAAAGTAGCTCTCACCTCTGAAACATGACCCTAAACATCACCCTGTTCTACTGCTTTTTCCTCAACCTTCTAGATGAACTTTTCTGTCTGAAATTTCCAAAAAGGGTGAGATGCAAAGCAATTCATCACAGCAAAGGCAACTGGAACCTTTTGATATTATGAAAAACATCTATGCTCTCAAATACTTAAAAGCAAGAGGGGGAAAAAAAAAAAAAAAAAAAACACAAACTGCCAGGTATCAATACTACACACAGTACTCAAAGACCTGGGTTTGAAATTTGGAAAACATATTTTTACTACTTACAGTTTCCTCGATGCAGTATTCAGCTGTATTCCCAAAAGGCTGGTTTGCAAACATGCAAGAACAGAAATAATCAGGTGAGTAAAATAAGCATCATGTATGTGCAGCTTTCACTTGGCACACGGCCCTGAATGACAAGGTCCTCTCACAACCTCCTGCACATGTTGTTAAAATCGTAACCAGCACGAGCAGCTGGGGGCCCGGGGACACAGGAGCACCCCAAACATCTGAACGGTCTCAGAACAGAATGGATAAACTTTGGCATTAAAGAAGTAAAAACTGAAAACCTCACAAACAATCATTTTCTAGGCTAAATACATGCTTAAATAGATACTAACTATTATTTAGAAGAGAGTTCAATTTTTAATAGATAGCTCTGTTTTTCCCTTAAGATAGCCAACTAAAAAAAATACAGGAGTATGAACAAGAATTAAGTTTTTCTATACTAGCATTAAAACAAAAGATCAGTATAAACTGAATACAGCATAAACTGAGTTGTTTTGTATTAATTTTCTCAAAACACCGGACTTTAAGAGGTGCTGAGTAACTAAATCAAGACTTAAGCTGCATCCATGAGTAGTCCAGACTTCTGAAAGATCTCTAAAAGTTACACAGCAAAACCACAGCTAATGATAGCAGATATTATGAGAAGTACCAAAACTGCCTTGTGGAAGGAGTAGATTTTTCTATGTTCAATGATTTTAAAATTCTATCTTTATTAAAAAATAAATATAAAAGATAGAAAGATATGAAAATGCCATTATTCAACATTTATATACTCCCTCCAAGATGAAACCAAACTCAGAAGGCAGTGCTCTACTCACAGAGGTGGTGGCATACAGGAGGTTTGATGCAGTAGCGTTTGCTGGGTTGCTTCCTTCAGTAGTCTGTTTTGTTGGGAAGAAAAAAACCACATTGGCTGGTTAGCAGGTAGTCATTTATTTAAGGTTTGTTCTCCATATATTGTACAACGAGTCATGGCATGGTTGCCCTTTCAGCACCACTGCAATACAGATGTTAAAACACCACGAAGTCCCATATAGCTTTATCATACATACATGCACGCGCAAGGAATGAGACGAAGGGAAAATTGCTGTGTGTTCTCTTATTTTTTAATTCATTCGGAGGGAAGTTAACACTATGCCCAAGCTAATCTACCAGCAATTGGGCACAAACATGTGGTTCTAGCAGCTCTCCCAGCTCAGGGCTGCTGCTCCAGTGTTTCCTTTCGGGCTGGCTCTGGCAGGGCCCACACGACACCCCACGAGCCCAGCCTGCAGAGCAGCCCCTAGCAGCAGAATCACCGTGATCCTCTCGCAGCAGAATCACCGTGATCCTTGGGAATGCACCTCCCGGGATCGCAGCCGGCACACGGGCTAGGAAGGCTGCCCCTTTCAGCGGCAGGTAGCCCTGACAGGTTTAACCCATAGCACACAATCTGACATAAAGCTTATTTTTTAAAAAAGGAAACAAAAAGAGTTGTCTTGAGCACGAAGTTCCTACAGGGGGGTCTCTTTTTCAGACATAGGGACCCACATGTAACCAGTACTCAGACTGCAGCTAAGGGGAGGCCACAATGCCAACCCTGCGGGACCAGGAGCCCAGCTAACCCTACACAGCCCAGCAGCAACCACGGCACGTCCTCTCGTCAACCCACTCGGGTGGCAATCAGGCATGAGAAAAGGCAGCTAAAAGCAGAGCACTCAATAAAAAGAGCACAGGAAGTGGCTCCGACTATGGAGCTAAAATAAATTCACAGAATGAAGATAAAACGATTACTTACCAAGTTAAAAACAGCTATAATGAGCAAGGCACTGATGGTGATGAACGCTAAAGGAAGCCTAAGCAAAGGCATCGTTTCCACCGTCTCTGAGAGAGCACACAGACGATGCAAGAAAGGCCACTGCTCTGAGCAGCATTTCTGGGAACAAAATTGATTTATTTCAATAAGAAGGATAACCGACTTTTACACATGGTAAGAAATATTTATGTGTATAAAAATACTTTGTCCCTTATACAAGAGAAAGTTAAGACTGTGTGCAGTGAAGATTTAGAGCACAGTTAATACGACTGAGGCATTTTAGTCTTTACATGGCTCCAATTTGGCTCTGTAAGAGGAAGCTCTTCCAGCACCAATTTCCCTGAGAGGCTGTAGCTGCTCTGCAACAAGACAAGGGCAGAACCTTCTCTAAAGACTTTGAGAACTCAGTCCTGCCCTTGCTCTGCCACAGAACAGATCTGAGGAGCTTATGGACATCCCTGAAGTCCCTTCCTCTCACCTTCCCACTGCCAGCGATTGCTTGGGCTAAGAAGGACTACTTTACACAGTTAAACTCTACATCACTGTAGACTGTTTTATTTATTTATATTTAAGCAGTAATTGCATGCATTTAATAATGCAAGGCAAAAGAAATCCAAATGCAAAGTGTCCTAATTGATGTAATGGTACATTTGGAGTCCTACCTAACAGCTATGGAATTGCTGCCAATAAATTATTCATACATTTGTAATTTCCATGGGACTTTATCAATTATTATAACCCTGTATTCATATTTCTTTTGATTTTAATATTGGTTCCAGTGTAGAAAATCACAGAATTTACAACTAAAAATATTATTACAGACAAACATTTTAAAACTCTGAGAAATTTGTGTTACAAAAACAAAACAAAACAAAAAACCCACCTGCAGAAGCACATGTTAACAACTTCCTCCTCCCTCCTACTGCCTATTCTAGAATCCATATAACACTGAAGTAGCACATACAAGTTCTACTAAGAATTTTCAAACATGAGTATCTGAAGTTCAGCATCTAAATCTCTCTTTTGGCCAATGAAATACTCTGGTAAGATGTCAAGTTCCTCAACCTCTCCTTGAAATTAATAGTTTGATTTATCATTCTAAAATAAAGACTTTGTTGCCATCCATTCAGTTTTGAGAACAGGAAAACCGTTACTTACCATCCATTTCTCAGCAAAACACACTAACAAAATAAGTGCAATTATGACTGCGACAACGCCAAAGGAAATCCCCAGTTTTGCAGTTCTAAACAGAAAAAAGCAGCATTAAACAACACGGTATTAAATGAAAATGTATCTCAAGCTGCATTTCATCAGGCTAGCTAATACTTGCTAAGAAGCTTCTTAAGAATTAAAGAAAATTGTTCTTACAGTGCTGAACAATGACAACCGTGCTACAGGGTATTTTTGTTCTGTTGCACAAATACAACTTTAAGATTTTTCACCCCTTCACTGGCAGTTTGCACCATTACACCAAGGGTAACTCTGTAGAAATTTACTCTAACAGCCATGAAAAACAAATATGCCATAAAGCAGCTTTCTCAGGGGTGAGAGTTGAGGCTGCAAGTTCCCTCAGTGTGGGAATCACCAAGCACACTTTATTTACCTAATCCCATTTTCCCAAGCAGTCAAACATGATGTTGAAGAAATATTTCTACTTGCTTTTCATACTAGTGCCTGGGCTTTTAGGCCAGCACACAAATGCACTTTTTTCATTAAAGGGTAGATTATAATTAAGAAACATGCACTTCTTATACCTAAATGTTCAGAAACTCCAAAAGACCTAAGAAGTTTCTTGCACATTAGCGTTTTACATAATCCACAGCTTAAGTTAAAATATAAATATTAAAATACAGACACTTACTTTGGCATTATAAAGATCTGTATCAAAAATATACAGAGGAACACAAAACTGGCACACACGAAGTAACTCTTCAGCTTTAGAATAGGAATAGTGCGATACTGAAAAGCAGATTAAAATAATCTTAGGGGGTTTTGTTTGTTTGTTTTTAACTCTATTTCATTTACATGAAAATTTACATAGAATTCATTTACATAGAAAATATGTTTACACATATATGTTCATTTACACATTAAATTCAAATACATAAATTAAAAGAGAGCTAACAAAACCAACCATCAAATAATACCACGTGAACAGGGGCTGCCAGCAAGAACAGCCCAGTCCAAAGGGGCTATTTCAAACCTGGCGGGAAATTGGCTGCAGAGCACTGTGTAAATGAGGCCTTCACAGCCACGCTGAATCAAAACCCTTATTAAAAGTACATGCACACAGATAAGTGTGAACACGTATATGATTAATTTTCTGTGCTGTGCCATCCCGGACACAAAGGACAACGTTATTCCGAGTTGCTGGCAGCTAAGGCTGCCTGAGCTCCTGCCAGCTCCCCTGCTGCATGGGCCTGAGCGCAGAGTAGGGGCAGCCTCATGCAGCGCCAGGACGGGGCCTTGCCCAGGGCAGGGACTCACGAATATTGAGCTCCATTTGCCACCAGTTACCGGAGACCTCCGGGGCTCTCCAGGCACCTCAGGATCCAAGGCAAGAACCAAAACAGACTTTCAAAGGTATTCATCCTTACGCTGCAATAAAGTGCCACTCAAAGGTCACCAGAAACAATTGCTTTGCTCTTACCAACCTCTTTTTCAAGTGCAGGTTCTGCAAAAATGAGGGAGAATCCGCAGAAGTCATCGGATTTGCCACACCAGGGGCTGCAGTGCAAGAGAGAGGCAGTTCAGAAGCGCCCGCAGCGGAGGACCGAATTTATGAAGAAATAAATTTTGCATCTAGATCTAAAACTGAAACTGCAGATTATTCCTGAAGAAAAGCAGCATCAAGAAAACATAAAATAGTGCATACTTGGTTGAACTGAGTCCCTCAATGGTTGACATCATTTCATCATAAATATCTTCCTCTATCCTTCCCTTCTGAGATGAATTCCTAGGAATAATACAAAGCCCATGTCAGAAATGACATTCAGAAACAAGAGATCCCTCTGAGATATAACTCCTATTTATCTATACTTCTTATATACAAAATTTAAGTACAGTGAAATTATGAAACATGTTTATCTCATTTAAACAAAGCTTTTTGATCATTGCAAGCATCCTAAAAATATTAAAATCACAGCAGGCTCTTTGCAAAATCAGAAAAAAAGACACTTCAAATATCTTTATTATAAATTGAAGTCAAATACATTATGTCAAACATACATTAACTATAGCAAAACTCTGACAGAGGAACAAGCAAGCCAATAAGAGATACTCTTTCTAGTGCTGATCATGAAAATCTGAAAAAGCAAAGACAAAGCTATCAATTTCTCAGTTTTTCCATGCTGTTTCACAGCTATTTCACTACCTTATAAAAACATAGACTATAAGTGCTCATAATGCTAAAAGGACAACAAATTCAGGAATGAAAAGGGAGGTATTTGAGCCACTTTGACAACAAATGGTCACTGACTCAAAACCATAATTGCTAAGGAATCACGTCGGGGCCTGGGAACCTGAAATGAGCGAACAGAAACACTTTGTGCTGCAGGGAGCCTGCAAAAGCCTTTTAGCGCTAAGTATCTGTAAGTCCCATATTTCTAAGGCATGGGGCTGTTTCATAACTTCATTAAAACGGTACCTGCACCAAGGAACGCAGGTACCTCCTTGCACCAAGGGGTGCAGTATCTATTTATAGATACAGCAGCAATTCTTGATTACACTACCTTAACACACATCGATAACACTAACTAAAGATAAAATATATCTTGTAAGATACAATAAATACTACAAGTAAATATATATTACTTGTATTGTAGCATATTTATTTTACTCCCTAATACTGCAAACAAAAAAAAGGCATCTTATCAGTAATAAAATTGAAAGCTGAGGTAACACACACGGTTACAGAATAAACATGACTGCTACTTGGACCTTCCTGCTTGCCTGCTCCCCTCCAGCCTGCTCTCCCGAGCTCTGCTCCGTCCTGCTAGGGACTGGCCAGCGAGAGGGATCCTGCCTGAGCGACGGGCTGAGAACAGGGAGCAGGGAAGCTCCTTTGAGGAACTGCCACTCCTACCAAATGGCAACTGAGAGGCTTGTTAAAAGCTCAAGGATTTAGCTTAGTTTAACCTTAATAGTTTAACAGCTATCAGAGTCATTAATCAACCAAAAAGTGACATGCTTACAGTACATTCAACTGGAAAAGCAGCTTAAGATTATATGTTAAAAGGATGAAAGTACTGGACAAACCTATCTGAAGTCCTCTGGCGCCCAGTGGAACACAAAGGTATTTCCTAAACCAAACAAGGAATTAAGAATAAGTTACTTTCATACTCTTAACTGTAGACCACAATCGAAAATGAAGCAGCAGCCAAAATCATTTTTATTCACAAAAGTTCAGAACCATTCTCAAATACAAAACGGTCATAAGAATCAACCTTTTCTGCTTTGACAAGTTTGCATTTTCTGACAAACAGCTGTTAGTACATAACTGAACAGGTCTGACATCACTCGTTTTCCTCCACGCAGTGAAATAGCTAAGATCAGAGCAGATCAGCAGCAGAGACAAGTAAATTGGAAACCATGTGTACAAAAGTGAATGCAGGGATACTTCATTTTAAAATCTACTGCTGTTGTCTGGTCACAGAGGTAAGCAGAGCCTTGCTTAGGAGCTCAGGAGCGCACCTGAGAGGAAACACATCCCCTCCCAGCTCCCAGAAAATGCAGACTGAAGGAGAAACGAGTTTAACTGTTTATTGGCAAAATCCTGGCATAGACGGTGCATGTGGAGGGATTGTTTCTTTTCTAAACATTTTAAATAATTGTTGAACGCACCCAGAGGCTGGGATAAATTAGCTTTTTTCAAAAAAGCCCTGAAGCAACCAGGACCTAAGGATGGAAAAACGTCCAAAAAAAGTACAGTTTCGAAGTTTGACTTAGAGAATTTACCACTGTGCTGGAGTAAATGGCAGTAGCATGCTGGATACTAGCAGAGTTTGAATGCTGTAATCTAACTTCTGACAGGAATAATCATTGCACGGTTGCCTTTTTATTTGTCTGTACTTAACGCATCACTGTTTATGTACGCTTAAATAAGGGCAAAACATCATCTACAAAAACATCGCAGGCATCAGGTCGTAGACACTCAAAGAATGGTTTGCAGCTGTGAGATGAGCACCCTCCCGGCCAGCCTCACCTTCCTCCGCCGCCCCTGCGAGGCAGAGGAGTCGCTGCTCACGCTTTCCCGGTGGTTCAGGTGGGCGAAGGGCCTGGCTGCTCCCCAGGACTCCAGGTACCGCGTCATCCGCACGGACGCGCGCATCTTCAGCCCATCGTTAACTCTTGTTTTGGGGAGATGATTATTTGACACACACTGTTTGGACTAGGAGAAAAAGATACTCATTTACAAAGCAGAACAGGATAAAAACTACATACAAATGAAGCTCTGTTAACTGCTTAACAAGTAGTTTTAGGGATAAAACTGCCTACCTATTTAGTAGGACTCTAACCATGTATCAGCAATGCATCAGCCATCCATGCTTCCTGCATCTCATTTAATTAATCTGATCTCAAGCAAATCATGACTTGATGAATTTGCCTTAACTGCCTTTACAAGTCTTTGCTTGTAAAGCTGTGCAGCTCTCAAGCTTCTGGTTGATTTATGATGATGCAGGAGATCCCAGGATCTTATAAGCACAGTTTCCTTGAAGTCAGCACAACTGCAGGGAGGTACAGATCCTAACTCCTGAGCTAGGGGGGATCAAAACAGTGATTAGGAGAAGGTCCTGCAAATGACAGACTCGGCCTTAGATTGTATCTGGGTCACAAGTGAGCAGCCAGGCACTACTCATGCAGCAACACCACTGTGGAAGCTTCTGCATTGAAGATAACTGTATGAGCCACAGATACTTACGTATGTGTATACACACACACACATACTATATACACGCACACACACAAAAACAAGTTTAAAAACCATATACATACCCTTGGATCGATCACCAAGTAGGTTTTGATGTTCATGGATTCAAGGTAAGGATCCCTCAGGTGCCCGTTCCCTTCCTCTACCTCATAGGCTTTGCCTAGGTGATTTAACGTTGCTTCAGTGATGTGCACACGACTGCGAAGGGAAAACAACAGGAGACCCAAACATTTACAGAAAGATCAGATTAAGCATTTCATTTACATTTCAATGGCTACTGCTGACATTTTTTGTGCTTTTCATCCACCTTGAGCTTTGGCAGCCAAAATCTTGCCAGTGTTTAAAACCATATTAGCAACCTATCACTGCTTTTTTTCTGTTACTCTTCTTAATATTAAGTATGCCAAAAATGATTACTGGAATGAGATAGAAACAGTATAAAATTAAAGTGAAATACAGCAAGAAGAGGACAGAAGAAATGTATATATATATATATGGTCAAAAGAGACCTGATGACTGACAAAGAGACAGAGACTCATCTGCAGGTTGTTTCAGATGGAAAGAGCTGCAGGGAAAGCTCACAAAACAGAAATGAGACTGTCTAAAGGGGACAACCCATGCTAGAAATGCCTGAGGAGAGGAGAGGAAGGGGTGACAGAAATAAATAAATAAATAAGAACGGTTGGAAAGGGACTGCTTTGAAGGCCTGTGTTTTCTGACGGAGCAGAGCAGCAGCAAAGAACCCTCTGCACAACCACCACTTTGGAGGCTCTGCAGCAGCCCTTCCACCCCACCGGCCCACACGGGTGTTACGGCCTCAGGACCCACCCGCAGGGCAGCGGGTTGGCTGCGTGGGGGCAGCGGGCCGGGCTCTCGGCTCCGCCGCAGGCCGCGCACACCCCGACGGTGCCCCGAGCTGCCCCTTGCCCCGCGGCGCCCCGCACCTCCCAGGCTGCGCACGAGCGTCACGGAGGCCCTGGTGCCTCCTGCTCTATCCGTGCATTACGGTGCTATATATGCAAATAATGTTCCAAACTGGAGAGAGGAAGAGGAGAACAAGGACACGCAGTCAATGGAAATGAAATATTTATACAGCCACAAGTTTTCCTGTGTCCTTTTAATAGCCTTTAAACTGCCTTCATTCACAGAAGTCCAAACCAGATATACTTCATATTTAAATATAAGTCTGGTACCATCTGTCCAACTGAGTGTTCTGGAAACCTCAAGCTGCTCCTGATGACAGAAACATTCCCTGACTTCCCCATGAGCAGGACTAGCTACCACTGAAAACTGGGGAACCCCAAAGGGACCCTTCTTCCAGAGGCACCCCATACCAGGGAGGCACCTTCCCTCCCGCTGAGGCTCCATCTTCCAAGAATAAAAAGTTTCCTCTTGCTATTTTTGAAGCAAAAATGGCATCCAAGTGCTAGACATGTATGGATATAATAAGCATTACAGTGCAATGTTTCAGAATAAGTAAACTTAAAACAGCTGCGACCTTTAACAGATCATCAAACATAAGCACCATGTAATGGAATAATTAAAGCTTTTAAGATGAAGCAATGATCCTGAGAATACTATATATATATATATATATATATATATATATATAGCTTTGTGTTTTTTCAGAGTCATGTTTTTTGCTTTATGAACAAAAGAAACTTCACAACTCCTTATTCTTGTTTAACCCATGGAGAGTCAACACCAATTAAATACTCAGCATGCAGGGTACTGCAACTGGAACCACCCTCCAATTATTTGAGTTTGTTTCAGTCATCAATGTGAACAAATAATTTCATAATCATACCCCCTTGCAAATTTGTAGAAATTCATTTTAAAATTAAAGGAATGTATCTAAAAGCTGAGCACCATATGGTATGTTCTGCTACTGCTTGGCTTCAGCTCTTGCACATCCTTGCCTCCATCCCAGGCACTGATGACAAACACAGAGAGAACACACAACCACCAGCAAGCAGAATTCCTGTTACTTGGGCACCCCTCATCAGGCTGCATTTTTTGAATACACAGCTAATATAAAGCTAGTGTGAACACTGCAAATATGAAGCCTTGCCTCGGCCACATAGGTAGCATATCCTTCATCTAAACTAACCTATAAGGCATTATCCCCAGGCACAACACGAACAAACAAGTCAACATAATAACACGCTGCTGAAAGCATACAGTTTTCTCAGATGAAGGGAGCACCAAGTAGGAGTCACTTGCCCCAGACTATCATTTTATAGTTAATCAAAAAAGAATCAGAAAATGTGGACATTTTAAAACTGCAGTTCACATTTTTTCCTATTTCCACCATCGCACTTCACGAATTGCCTAACAGCAGTCACAAAGGCCAGAGCCCCGCACTGTGACTCGGAACGCGCGAGGACGGAGCGAACGGGCACGACTGCCTTACCCGGGCACTCCGGCCGACTCCATGCGGTTGGCCAAGGACACGTCATGGGACCACACGTCGTACTGCCACTTGCGCAGGCCGATGACACCGCAGAGCACGTTCCCAGAGTGGATGCCAACCCTCATGTTGATGTCCACGCCGGTGGCTTCCCTCACCTGCCTGCGCAAGAGGAAGGGCAGCAGAGTTCACATCAGCGGCTGCACAACTCAGAACTGCTTATAACGGTGAAGAGAAAACTACCCCTCTGCACAGTTATTTCCTGCATCTGAAGACTCCTCAGTTTTACTGCTTTTGTACTAGTCTTCCAAATAGATTGAATTTTTCATTCATTCATTAAGGGAAAACTTAAAAAACAAACAAACAAAAAAATCTAGGCGCATGCCAAATCCTGCTCTAATACTGCTCTCAGTGAAACCCAGCTCAAACCAGCAGTTCTAAAAATCTCTGAACTGGGCTACATTTGCCATTTTAAGGTAAAAAGATTTCAAAAGTGGAGAGCTAAATTACAATAAAAATCTACATGTATTTCACATATAAATAAAGCTGTTTCTTGTTATTTACACATTAAGCTGTTCCCACAAATAACTTTGCTAAGCATTGTTATATACACGCTCTTTCTGCTTATGTAAAAAATAACCAAGTTGGAATGCAAAAATCCCATGACAGTATTATAATGGCCTAGCCAACATTGTTCTTCTTAATATCAACATAACTGTATTGTTTTATTGTATATCAAAGAACTGGCATTTGCCAACAAAACTGTTTTGCTAGAACATTTCAGACCAGCTGTAACAAAAATAAAAATAAAATAATGTCTTTGGCATATATTGGTCTAGAATAAGTGATTTAGCTTTCTGCCAAACAGTTACTCTAGACTTTGGCAGAAAAAAGATACAGTCTATAACTATTATGTTAAATACTACTGAATCCCTAATGTAATTTGAGGATTAATATAGTATTTAGCTCTATATACTTTCACTGAACTATACATCACTGAATATAAATGTGCCTAGGCAACTTATGTTTGGTTTTCTCTCCTTCTTCTGTAAGGCCTAAAGATATATTACAAATTAATATCATTATAGATATACTTAGAGCAAACACAAGAGACTAAAACTCTTATGACCTAAAGCATACATAATTATCATAAACTATAGCTAACAAATACATTTTAAGTGTCCTCTAATAAGAATGACTTTACTCAATAGCTTCAGAGCCTCTATACTTTAGAAAGCCTTTGGCTGCTATACTTACTTTATCGCTTCACACATATCAAGTCCCATTTTAACGCAGTTTCTGGCATGAACCGGTAAGGACACAGGTAGGCCTGACACACAGTAGTAACAGTCTCCCAAAATTTTTATTCTCATGCATTCATTCTCCTGTGAAATAAGGGTAAAGAGATTCAACAGGAAAATACAAACTGCAAGTAAGCTGATGACCCAAAGTGCCCGATATCTGGTTGAAGAAGCTGGGTCTCGAGTAATGCAGCTTGAAGCAAACCCTGCTTCTCTTTTCCTACACCCCAATGCCTGGATATTGCTGACTGGAGGGTGGAAGAAATGCTCCCTTGAAGCTTTTCTAAAAGAAAAACATCGATTCCTGACTTCATTCTTTGCAACTGGGAAATCATAAATAAAATTATAGTAATGAAGAACCACCACGGAATTTACTACCTAAAACACAAACTCATCTCATCTGTATTTTTATTTTGCTGCTTAGTTTATTAGCAATCCAAAACTGCAAAAATTAGAACATATTTCTTATAGCCTCACAAACAGCATTGTCCCAAAACCTGCACAGAATTTAGGGAGAAATCAGGAATGGAGATTGCCAAACTGGTAGTTTTGCAGAAGGAAATGTTTTTCAGATGAGTGCAGAGGAAGCCAGCCCACAGGGCAGTCACGCTGCTGCCGGCGGCTCAGCACAAAAGCAGCAGCACCGCTCGACAGCAGCAAACTTTCTCCTGCCCTTGCAAGAGAGGATCCTGTCACCAACCCCGGCTAGGGAGGGAATGGCCTCCAATCAACCCCCAAGCACCCTAACTTGCAACCAGCCCCCATTGATGGCAGCTCCCCAAGTCGTTCTCCCTCACTCAACGCCACATCCATCGCTCTCCAAGAGCGGCGCCGTCAGGCACGCGCCGCGGACGGCTTGGCACCCAGCTCAGCCCGCGACCCGGGGAGGTTCAGAGCCTCCGGGGCTCTTATACGACAGAAACGATGACTGGGAACAGGCCCCGACATGACAGAAATAGCACAGAAGGCAGGAATCTTCTCACGGCTCAACCACAGAGTTGTGAAAGTCCTTGAGTCACTAAACCCAAACATTTTTCTAAACAGTGTAATTTCTCATTACAAATCAAGAACGAAAATGTCAAATTTCGAAGCTTACTATATTTCTGTACCCGAGGAATAGTTAGAAACAATGTCCCCGTTTCTGCTTTCACAGGACATTTGTTTTAATCTCAACTTCCACTGTAACACTAACTTGTGCTAACTGAATTAATAGTCATGTCATCCTGTGGGTTCTTAATAGCAGTGCAGTTACAATACAGCTAGTACAACCCTCTTGTTTTCTGGTACTCAAGGAATTTTAGTAACAATTCAATTGACAGCAATATTATATAAAGATTAGCAATGTCACTTATTAGTCAAAAAAGTAAAGTAAGTTTTTAGGCAGTTTTTAACCAGAGTTTATTTGGTCACATCCACAGTGGTTTAACTAAAACTGCTTTCTCAACATCTTGTTATATTAGTTTTACAGTTTTCCCATAGAATTTCAAACACACACAGACACAAAAACACCATGATTTTCCAGGTCCATTAAAATTTTCTGTGCCTGGCAGAAAGTCCAGCTGCTTTTCAGTGGTGCCATTTGTCCCTACATGGGCAACAAACTGCAGCACTTACCTTTGCAATCTGATCAAACTTCCCAAAAAGTTCATTCAGCATCACTACCAACTCCTTAGGAGAGCAGTCACTGGCAAGGCGAGTAAAGCCCACAATATCTGCATAGAGAATGCTAGGAAGGAACAAGAGGCAAAAACAGCATAACTGAAATAGGAAAATAAGTCTCCTCCACAGTCAGCTTAAATATTAAAGCCTGTTTAATAGAAAACATCTTTCCCTTCGGAAAATAACTCCAGGAAAAAAAGGGCTTACATATTTCAACTAGTTTTAGCGTTCTGAACACATGCTGCTTTCTACCACCAAACAACAGGGAAAAAGGTTCACTATAGCCTGTAAATCTACTTCCAGATTTGAATCCCACAACAACAAACACTGATAAAAAGTATCAGTTTACATTAATATAGTTAGATCTAAAGTTTCTGCACTTACCTAACATTTTGGTGCCTTTTTACATACAGGCTGTGGAAGTTGTTGTCATGCATTTGCCTGTTATCATTGGTTTCCTTTAGTCGCTCTATGATTGCTAATTTCATTTCCATAGATATGTGAGCTGGCAAGATGGACAAAAGCAAATTTTCCTAAAAAGAGAGGAAAAAAAATTAATGATGTAAATTCTTAATATAGTGAGTTTTAAATTGCAGGATTTCAGTGTGACTGTAAGAACAAATTAAAAATTTGTTCTTTATTTAAAAAGCTTTTGAGAACACATCACATTCTCAAAAAAAAAATGTTTAGGTTCTCAAAAATCAAACACACTGATTTTTTAATTAAGGGTGTTGTACATTTTCTTTTTCCTTTTGTTCCTTATGACCTAAATGCTACATCTCTCTCTTACTGTGGAAAAAAAAATGCACAAAAATCAACACTACCACAATTTTGTATTAATGAGAATTTACTTTTTCACCCATCTGTCTTCTTCAGTATTATGTTAGCATGTTCTGATAAAAGCTTAGAGAAAAAAAATATATATTCTGTAACTATGATCTGTGAGGTACTAAAACCACCTCCCCACAGCTTCCAAAGAAGGGACAATCTTCTTCATAGGGAAAAAGTGGGTGCAAAGGGGTCCACAGAATTATGCCTGACAAATTACTGCACAGATGAAAGAGCTGTCCATGGAGCTGAGCACATCCACACCTCAACAAGCAGCCATGGGGGCAAGTCAGTCCCTTTCCAGCCCCTTCCTTTCACCTAGGAGCCTGTGGCAGAGGCCTGGGCGCTCTAGAGCTGCTGCTCTGCACCCTGCTTGGGCCAGCACAGGCCCAAGAGAGGTGCTCTGGTTTCAGATTGGAGACTTCTTTACAGCCATTCTTTTTTTTCTTTGAATATGACTTCAGTTTAGACTCCAAACAATACTGTAAGTTTTTAAATGACTATTTCCTCTCTTTAGTCCTTATTTTCTCCTTCTTGCAAAATAAAAATACTTTACAAACCAAGAAAATACAGCAACAAGTAATAAGTGGAGAACTTCCCTCGTGACCAGGGGAATCATGTCTTAGAAGCTATTTCTCCGGGCATTATGACACTTTCTTTTAAGTTACCTTAGGTTAGATACAGTAGTTTTTTATATTTGGCAAAAAAAAATAGCTAAAATAACTGCCAATCATATTCCTGTTTCAAATGCCATGTGCTTTTTTTTTGTATAGACAAACCCTGCACAGAAGAGCTTCCTCCCTTTGACTTCCTTCTTTTGTTGCAAATGGCACAACTTTTTTCTTTTTTTCCTTTTATTTCCTTTTTTTAAATAGTAGAAGACTATCACAGAGATGATACCAAGACGTTTAAAATGCATTAATCACAAACTTTATAAAACTATATAGACTTTATAAACAGAAACAAACAACACAAAAAATGAATCATTTCACTCACTTGTTGTCTCTTTTCGATCTTCAGTTTCATTCGGACCTGAATGCACTTTAATGTGTATCTATATAGGTCCCATGAAGCCACCTGCATTTGGCGTTTGTGAAATGCACCCATCAAGTTACCACAAAGAAAAATGACTGCATTGGCAAGTAACTGCACAAGAAAAAAAGACATTGACATACTGCAGAACAGCCACGGATAGTTCACTGGTATATTGACTACTCCCTTAAGAACAAACCACCCCAGTGCCCCTTCCAGTTTTTCCCTTACCCCCTCTCTTACATGCAAATCACAGCTCCCAATTAGCCAGGATGTACAGGAGAAACAAGGTAACTTGCAAAGGGGTGGGCATTCCTACAAGAGCATGCTGAAACACAGAAAATCCTGTGCTATCCCTCAACCTTTGTTATTTGTGGATGGGTGTGTGGGACTCGGGCAGGACCCAGCCTCAGCCACTCAGACCCACACGCGCACGAGGTGCCGGGCGGTGCGGGGGGCTCCTCTGGACACAGGCGGCCCCCAGGATCTGCTGCCCCTTCTCATCCCCCTGCGCCCAGATGGAGCCAGGGAGGAGGCACCTGGAAGAGCAGGCCGGGAGGGAGGAATGCAGCACAGTCTGCCCTGCGTTGCGTTACTTGGTTAACCACACCAGGCTGCTGCTTCTGCTTAGGTCAGAAAACCAGGACGCGCTAGAAACGATTACATCTTCAGTAAAAGCATGCAAACGAGCTGCGTGCCCACGCTCCTCAACCCTCCACGGGGTGCAAGTCTGGGAGCTGGCTGAACACGAGCCTTTGCCAAGAGCAAGCATTCATACGACTACATCATTACTTAACCACACAGTATTTCCTTACCTGATAGAGAACGGATTCCTTTTCTTTCGGGGAATTCTTTGGTACAACAATGCTCAGAACAATAATGTGGGAGAGGGCAGAAAGACTGCTAAGTATGACAGCATCTCTCATCCCAAAGGGGAGCATGGTATAAACTGTGAAGATTAGGAATAGGAAGAACGGCACCTTTGGAAAGAAAGAAACAAACAGGAAAACCCACATGTATTACTGGATGCCTACCAAAAATCACTACAGAATAAGGAGGAAAGCATCAATGTTCTCATTCATTTTCAGACCATACACATGAATGTTGACCTTTCAAAAATGCTATTAAAATACCAGGATGGTAGCAGTGTTAAAACCCTCGATGGCATTAGTAGTTCCAGATGCACAGAAACCCCGCTGTTTAACATGACATATCACCTGTAACTTGTTCAGTTGTCCTTGCCCTTCACCCTTAATTTAGCCATTGCAACAGAAGGTGCACTTTGTACATTATGTATCAGGAACAGCACCGTGCAAGATAGCAATATTGACTAGCATTAAATGATGCATATTTTCCAAAACATAATGGTAATAACATCACCAGATCACTTCTGTTTACTCCATTTGATAGAAGCAAAAATGCAAAGAACACATTCCAGTGCCTACAGAAGAGAACCATGGTTATTGCAACTACCTACCTTGTAAGCTGCACAGCCTTTACAAAAAGCACAGTGGCCCACTAAACTGCTGGGGATCAGGTAGGAGCCACTAGAGCCAATCACCTAAATGCTTATTTATAGATTGCTGTTACCGTGCTTAGTCTGTACTTACAGAACCTGACAGCGTGAGCAAAAGTAAATACTGTAACAGACATATGGCAACGCTCCTGGATCAGCTCTGCTCCTCACTGCCCCTCCAGACATCCGCGCCCTTCAAGGAAGCCTCAGGTTTGGACTACATTAAACCTTTAGCCACTGTAACTAGTGTTTGTTTGTGACCAAAATATGTAAATCAATCGGCTCATCTTTCCTGATTAATTGTACTAAAAATAAAGTCAATCGCACAACACCACAGTCACAAAAAGTTTGGAACACTATGTAATAGCTTTGGAAATACAGACATCAAACATCATATCTTCATTTAAACAGTAGTTTTGAAGTCAAAGATAGAAGTCTATGTACTTAAAAGCAACATATTTGGGATCTTCCTTTCCTAAGGTGAGATTTTTCTTAAGCTAAAAATACTGAATAGCAACTACAAATACATGTTGCTGGATCCACGCCACAATACAAATCAGATTTTGGTTGTTTAACAGATAATTTATAATTTTCTTCATTTGGAATAAAGGGGGGAAGAGGAGGAGTCAGTACAAGATAATAAGTCATTTTTCATTTAATTAAAAACTCTTCTGTTTACATTACCAGAGCCTAGGAGGAGTTTCCTACAGATTATGATATTTTTGGCATTGTGAAATCGCTGTCTTCTGATCAGAGATACTAAGTAATGAACTTCAGCCGCACCCAGCTATGCCAGGATGTGTCATTAATGCTTATTGTTCACTTCACCTCTCCCATCCATGTGAAAACACGCTCCCCAGGGCACGCCCAGCACACAGCCCTTGCAAATTTCTTGAACACCACATTGACCCACATAGCGAATGGGCAAAGCATGTATTACTAAAGAAAATTCTCCTGAAGATGAATTCATAATAAAGGCTTAGTTTGTCAAAACAAAAATGCATTTCATTTACAAACTGAGGGTACAACTCCTGCATGGATTCCTGCAGGTATTCAGTTTTCTCACCTGTATTACATTCTCACTGGAGTAAAGAACAAGAATGGATCATGATACAAATCAATAAAAACAAACAGGAAAAGTGAGCCTAAGTCTGAAGAAACACAAAATTATGCAGTTAAAATGTTCATAAAAAAAAAAAGAAAAAATAAAAATACAAACATGCCCATACCCATACACATTGGCTACCAGTTCCACTGAATAAACAAGAAATACCTACCTGTTCCCATGGTGGAAACTCATTTTCTTTTTCAAAAATAGACACATATCCTATGGTTACGAAGCTAATCCAAATCGTAACTCCAAATAATGTTAGCCATCTCCGAAATAAGGATCCAATACATAAAAGCAAGTATATGACTGCAAATACGACAAGAGCAGTACATACTGTAATAATGAAGGCAAGATGATTACGTGTTTCCTGCAAAAGCAAAACAAAGTGTTATATTTATTCTAATGTTCCCCTTTAGAAAAAATGGAAAAGGCATCCATACAGTTCAGAAAACAGCTGAGACTGGAACGCAGGTTAGCATATTTTGAACCTAAATAGTCTAGATGTGGCAGCATTAATTCTTAATAATATTCACACAGAGAGAGATATCATCTCAGGAATTTATAACCAGGGAGTCAACGCATGGTTTCACATATCTTACTTGAATTTGAAAAGAAAAAGTTGAGAGAGGCAGAACATTTTAACTTAAGTCTATGTTATGTCCTGATCACTTTAGTAGGGATATATATTTGCTAGCACAGCTACAATTGAGCATGGAAAACACGGGAGGGGAGCACCATCCCTCCAGGAAGGGTGCGTGGCTCTGACCAGTCCAGCTCCTCTCCTCCCCATCCCTCCAAAAACACCCACAGCTACTTGACTTCAACAATACAGTTATTACACCAAGTAGCTCCAAAAAAAATATTTACACAGTAAAGTTTTCTGTGCCATTATACACATTCCTCGGCTTCTACAGCACACAGCGCAACCCAAAAGCTATACTCACATCTGTGACAAAAAAGATGACGATGAGCGTAGTCCAGAAGGCGATTGCGATGAAGAGCAGCAGCAGCAGCAGTGGGTGCTGCTGGCTGGTGTAGCGGTACTTCTCGTAGAGCGGGTCTGTTATCTTGCAGTCGTCGCTCTCATTGAAGAAGTATTTACCCTTTGCTGGCATTTTATCCCCACCTGGCTGCTACTTTTCACTCGATCCCCAGTGAACACAGTAGGACACAGCTGAAGCTCCTTCTTCAGAGTGCACCTGTGTGTTTCCTGTGCAGCTCCTGCAGTCTTCAGCCACAGCGAGTGACCCGCGTGCTGGGCTTTTACTGCTCATGAGCATTAGCTTCTGATTTCCAATACGGCCAACGGTAGAAGAGTCACCCTCCCCAAATCCACGGGCTATTCATCACCAGCTCCATGCAACTTCCGCAGCGGCTTACACTTGTGCAGGGGGGTTTTGCCTTTTTTATTTTGCCAGCCTCTAACGCCTTCCCGTAAGCTTGAAATTCCCTTCCTGGGATGAGTTCTGTAGAGAGAGAGCGAGCATCATTACACTAAGTGCATTTAGCTAAGGGCACAAGGCTTTGCCCCAGAAGGAAACAGAACGTTCCCTAGACTTACTATCCGCGTGCTCTGCCAGGAGATACCCCCTCTCTGTTGCTGGTGCACAGCAGCTCCTCTGCTCAGTGCTGCCTACGTCCCCTCTACGCAGGGGCCGGTCATTGGCACCGCACTGCCTTCCTCCAGCAGCCGAAACTCCCTCCCTACAAGAGGGCTGCTAAATACTCCTTGCTCCCTCTGAGCAAGTGACGTGGCCTCCAGGAGCAGCCGCGTCACCAGGCTCAGCTGCCTGGGATGGCAGCGGTGGTTAGGGGGATCTGGTGGGCATGGGGAAGCTCGCTGCGCGGGCGCGTGCTGCTGCCCTTTGGGCATGAGCTCTGCACTGAGCAGTTCTTCTAAAGTGAGCTGCATACAGAGACACACTCTGGTCACAGTACACTTGGCTTGCCTGGATTCTTTTTGATATGCATCTTTTAAAAAAATAATCTTTTTTTCTTTTCACACTTTGTTTAATTAAAGGAGAAAAGAACGCAGCTATCCAAGCCACAACTCTCAGATCTAAGTTTCTGAGAAACAGAAAAGACACTTTCCATCTAACTCTACGCCTTTCGTTCAAGCCTAATTAATACCGTTCCCATGGCAATGGGCGCGTTCTCTTAACAACGGACATTAAGCGATGAACTCTATTGTTAATCACTAATAACCGAGGGTTTCTCAAACAGATTTATGAATATAGCTCACCCAATGCCAACAGACGTAAAACAAAAGGGAAGGGGGCTGGAAGGAGGGAAGCGTGGAAAACGGGATTCCAGGCGAAGTTTTATTACAAGTTGCGAGCAGGCCCGCGGCTCCCGCTGCCAGGCTGCCGTCACCATGGAGCCCGGCACTGCCGGGGGAAGGAGCCCGCCAAGGGCCTCGCAGAAAGGCCGGGCTGTGGCCGGGGGCTGAGCGGGTGACACCTTCGAGCACATTCGTGTGCTGGGACGACGGGAGGGCAGGGACACGGGGACGCCCCACGCGAGGGAGCTGCGGTAACGGCACCGGGCACGAGGCGGCCCGCGCCGAGCGGGGAACTTCTGCAGCAAAACTGCAGTAACTGCAGCTTCTTGCCCAGGGGTTTCTCAAATGTGGATTAACCACTAAGCAAAAGGATAGCAGGATATATCGCCCTGCGTTTATTCAGTAACACTCAGAATAATTCACACGCATAATGAAAGCTGAAGTAAAACTAAAGACTCAAAATTTTATGTTTATGTATGCATACATGAAGAGGATTTTTTTGTCATGTCAGCATTCCCTCCTATAGTTAATGACACACAAATTTTACTTCACAAGTAATCACACTAGTTGTTATTACTGAGCTTTACTTTATAACTAGAAGACCTCCCTTAGGTCTTCTTAGAAGATTTCCTCCTTTCCCTGATACCCTCTGCACAGGCACATGGCTCCTGCAAAGGGCTGCACTTGCAGTTTCCAAGCAGATCTGACACTCAAATTACAGGAGAAGCAAGGAAGAAGTTCAAAGATCCTAATCATGCTGTAATTCATTTTCCAAATCACACTCCTGATTGCAGAATTACCTCACTTGGGAGCACACCTGCTTCTTATTCAGAAAGATCTATCAGAGCAGGGGGCATATTTCAATCTGAACTAGCAACAAAAGCAACAAAACTGAGCACTGGGGCAGACGCAGGGCTCTCCTGGGCTGCCGGATCCCCCCGATCCCCGGAGGCAGGAGCACCCAGCTGCGGAGGTCCCAGTTCCCTCCAAAGCAGGAATTCACAGCAACCTGACCAGCTGCTCTGTACCATGCTCGCCAACACGAAGTAGTCACAGGGTGATTTCCATGATGACAGATACTTTGAAAGGCAAAATTTATTTTCCAGTTTGCAGAACCAAAACCATTTTCTAAGAATAACTATTAATTGCTAAGCAGCAATATGTTAACCATTATGAAGGAAAAGCAATCCTGTCTTGAGCTACTTGATCTCAAAATCCAAGAAAAACATCTCTACAGCTTTACCCCTGCAATTAGATTCTGCGAAATTGATGAACAAACAAAACCAAGGACAATCTCACTTCTCCAGAAGTGCAACGGCTTTGCTTCAGTTATCTAACATTTGAAAGACGGAAGAGATGTTAGATGTATCAGCTTTGCGCCAACTCTGGGTGCTATTAAAGAGTTTTAAAGGGCAAAGTCAGCGAGACATGTCTCTTAAATGATTCAACCCTCTTAATAAAATAGTGCGAGTTTACAGACCTGTGCACTCCTTTACCAGCAGTCACTGATACACGTTACTAGTAGTGACTCCTGGGTCCAGCTTTTCCTTAACAAAACAAAACCTGGGTAAAGAAACCCCAGGACAGGACTCTCTTGCTTTCACAAGCACTAAGACACTGCACAAATGCCACTTTCTCTGAAATGAATGATTCAACTTTGAACCAGTTTCTATTTGCATCCTTTGTCCTATTGCCACTTTTTAAAAGCTATACAGCAACTTGCACTCTCTCTATGCATACAATTGAATAAGGTTTAAACAGCAAATGCCTGACAGCTCACCAGAGAAACTATTTGCTAATCATGCCGTTATTAGGTATTAGCTCAATCAACATGTGGTTACATGTGAGGAACTTCATCACAACTCATGAGTGATCTTATTAGAATCCAAAATGGGAAAAAAAAAAGTAGTACAGGAATTTTATTGTAGTTCCAAAACCACTACAAGCACTTAAACAGTCTCTAGTTTTCAAATTTGGTTACATTACTGGCACTCATTCTTTCCATTTACAGATTTACAAGTCAAGCTTTTGTTTTTAAGGAACTTTAACAGACTCAGCCAAAAGTTTCCATTTTTTCTGTCCTTCCTCCCTCTCCAAAATTTTTCCAACAGCCTTCTTAAAACATAGAGGGCAGACAGAGAGAGATCAGAATATCCTGTCACACAAACATCATGACCCACTAGCAAAACCCTCCAACTTAACACCTTCTTATTTATGCATATGGGGATTGCAGGGATCACACAATCTCTCTTTTTTTTTGAGGTGTTTTGGTCCTTGTGGCTTGCAGATTTGGCATCCTGGCACCATGAGCTGGGCACCTTTGAGCCAGCCCAGAGCAAGCACGCGGCCAAGCTGTGATCGCACCAAGCCAGCAGCTCTCTGACGTGGGGTTGGATTTGAGCCACTGCCATAAAGCCACCAAGTTCTGATAATGGTTTCTCAAGAAAAAGCCATATTTCTTTAGCAGCCTCCACTGCATCCAGAAGAGTTGGAAAGGAGAAGGACTGATTTGCCAACGAGGCTGCTTTAGCGCATAGAAGAAATCATCCCAGGAGCATGAATGAGCTGACACAGCTGAGAGTGGGCGATGATGTGTGGCGAGTGAATGAACAACATTTTGTCAGAGCTGCTAAGCTCCGCTCTTGGCTGCATACCCATCCACATGAAGACCTTTGCATCAAATAAAGCAACGTGACCATTTAATAAAGAGTACTGAGCATATGACAGGCAAAAAAAGGTCCATCCATAAAGATGCTTTTTTCAGAGCATGAATGGAAATGGCTCTGCTTCAAGCCATGGGGCACAAGTCTGTCCCGAGCAAAAGCTTATACAGGTAGGTAGGTGCTGGGCAAACAAGCCCAGCCCACCCTTCACGCGCACGCCAGAACACAGCATTTCTGATTTCCACCAATGTGGCTATTTCTGACTGCTCTAAGCACTCCTTCCCGCTGCCTAAGAGCTGTCAAGTACCGCTAGCTCCCAGGTCTCCTACTGGAAAGCCAAAGAGTTTTGTTACAAGCAAAATGCAAGAACAAACACTGAATTGGGCTATTAGGCTGGACTGAAGCTCTTTTGTTCTCCTGGACTAGTTAAAACTGTCCACAGCGCTTTGTGTCAATACATAGCACTTTCTTAAGAGCTGGCCTGCACTCAACAGCACAGAATAGACCCGACTCTATCCACAGAGCCTACAGAGACCGAGCGCTTTACAGAAAACTCACTGAAACACGATAGCCTGGGCTACGCTAACAAGTCACGGTACAAAATCAGAGAAGCCTCTTTCTTTTGCAGTTTGCTCAAGATAAAGTAAATACTGAAAAAGCAAGTGCCTTCACTGGGAAAACTACTCTGGGAATGTGCATCGCATAGATCGCCTCCTCCCCATGGCAAGGCAAGGAGCCTGGTGCAGACGAACAGTCTGCGATGGAGCGACAACATCTCCGGAGCAGCAAGGCTGGTCCTCAACTGCCTGCTGCAGCACTCACCCACGCGGCAGAACTCTCTGCATATTTATACATCATGCTACAGAGCCAGGGCATTTCTCACATTTGCTAAAAGAAAAAGGGAGACTTTCTATAAACAAGCTATTTCTACTTTGGACGGTGCATCAGCACTGTAATTTCCATTCTAATAGCTGGCAATCATGCAACTAGGTTTCTTGGTACCTCAAATTTCCTTCTCTGATCAAGTGACCACTTGTGCAATAAACTTTTGGGACAGGGAGATCATTTTTGCTGTCCAGTGATTTATTAAGCCCTACACATGTATAATCCAATCTATACAGCTGAAACAAGCACTGAATGACAAGTAAAAAAACCTGCTTGCTAATTTTTCTACTACCTTGAAATATGAATAGCATCCATGGGCTGCAGTGCTCTTTGGGGATGCTTCAGGACCTCCTTCTTCG